TAAGTGACAGGATCTAAAAGAATGGAAACTGAGACATATGTACAGATACGATTATGGGAAGGGTTGCAGCCTTGAGATCTTTCCTAATCAAGAACAGTCCCTGTATAACAAACCGCTTTCCTCAATAACACAGCTTAACAATTCCTGTTGAACAGCTGGGTGTACTAACACAAGAAATCTAGTGTAAAACCATCACAATGTGGTAGTGTGCCACCAAAATAGCACAGGCTGAACATTTTAGTCCAGCTAATGAGCCACAAAAATAGACCCAGTGCTAACAGGATTAAACAATACCTGCAGAAAAAAAGAGTTGACTAACTTATATTAAAAACTGCCCCTGCAAATCATTCCTAACTGGCAGTTCTGATAAAGGCCCTCTCCTCCCACCACCACCATTCCACTTCCTGTTTTAGCCTCCAGTGTTACAGCTTGCCCCCGCATCTCCAGACTGACAACAATAAGGGAAACAAAGCAGTTTGAAATCCATGGCCATGCTGCTCCCCGCCAGCTCCAATCAAGCCTTAAAAATCCCTGTCTCTGACAGCTTTGAAAGGGGTGATGTGGGCTTGAAAGCAGGAGGTTTGACAACATGTATGAATGCCAAATCATATAAAACCCTGTCAAGGCTCTATGGGGCTATCTAAATCTCTGTGGGGGTTGGATGCATAACTCAGACTTCAGGAAATCTTGCAAATGTGTATCATGGTGCTAAGTAAGTAAGGTGCTTCAGATTTGTTATACCCAACAATTCCAGCATGAAAGTGAAGAAAAAGCATACTGTCCTGCATGTCAGCTAAGCAAATCTTGTGTTTTTTTAAATGACACTGCACGTCTTGACAACATGTCAGCATACCTACAGGCTTTTTATTTTTCTGTGGAAAAGAGATCTGGAGCGTTTTCTACTGTACAATCCATCTGCTCCATGAGACAGACCTGTGCTCGGACCTCACGTACTGTACAGTACGTGAGAAGTGACAGACCTTGCGTATTCAAAGAACTGCCTCTATAGGGTTTACTTCTAACAGCAACCCACTCTGGCTCAGGTGTCCCACTTACTTTTCGTCCTCTGCTTTTAGTTAAGGACCCCCTTGAGACTGAGTTTGCAGGGAATCATGGGTAAGAACAGTTCAATTTCTGGTGCTTTCTGTATGAGCAGAAAAAATCCCAAGCAGAATTAGCTGTGATTGCCAGAGGGAGAATGTTCAAGCTGACACTCCAGTGCTTCAGTGTGTTTCTTCATTGCATACGTCTTCATGGTTATAACAAGCAAACCATCTCTATATAAGCAGTCCTGTCAGGTAGCCACAGTTTTATCCATGGCTGTGCACGACTAGCCCTGCTCTTCATTTATATCTGACATCTGCTTTTCACTACTGATGAACTGGTTAATTAAATACTACAAATTATGCACACATAGATGTTTCTTTACAATCCATATTTTTAAATAATTTAATGCAGGCAGGCAGAGTAAATATAAGAGCAAAGTCAGCTACTGTATTAAGTAAACAGTGGTTCTTTTTGGAATTTGTAGAAAGGTACATTATCTTGATCAATGAGATGAAATTAAGCATAAAAGATTTTTCTAAATGTGGAAACCATTGAAAAGGGAAATATGTGATTGAGGGAACACTAGAGTTATGGAGCGGATTGTGTAATATTCTTTAAAGCCTACAGTGCCTGTCCTGCAGGTTTGGGGTCAAAGCTGGCTCCACATCACATAAAACACCCTTTGTTTTTTCATTGTATGACACCCCTGTGCAAACTCAAAGCCAGAGCCCATGGTCCAGAAGGCAGAGAAACCAAGGGATTCTCTTGTGCCCTTATTACTTGTCAGCCTAAGGCCCACTAGTGGGTGAAAACTGAAAAGACTGCTTTATAGCTTCTGCATCTGTGATGCACCTGCTCTGTAGAGAGCTCTTCAAATTCTAATTCTGTCAATGTTGCAACTTTCGCGAGCACTAAATCTCTCATGTATATATAGAGGGAAACATAAAAAGAGATAAAAAATAACCTTAGTAAAAATAAAATTCATTCCCCTTCCTAGATAAGCACAATTAACTGTGTGCAGTCACAGCAGGCATGTTGTCAAGAGCATGTTAAGCTGAAGTAGCTCTGTTCTCAAAGGCCATCTCTTTTTTTGCAGTCCAATAAAAAAAAATGGCCGCCCTGTTTTGAAAAGAGTCGGCTTCGAGCAGCACATGGGAATCGTTCAAGAAAAAGGCCACAAAGGCAAGAGAATAGGATGCAGACAGGCTGTGAGGGAGCTGTCTGCCTGGCATGGCAACAGAGCTGTCTCTTTATAGGAGGGTCTGACTCCACACTGTTCCTGCTCACAACAATTCACCGCAGTGTCTCTTACTACCAGCAGCGGACTTGTCAGAGCAGCGTGCACCTGAATGTTTCTCCAGTCAGAACAAACTAAAAAGAACCTCAAGAAGAGAAAGAGAAAGCAAAGAAGAAAAAATGACCTACTTTTCACTTATCGACAGTTTTTATAACACAAAATAACAGCAATATCTTTTATTGTAGAACAAACTAAAATGAGTTTTAGAATGAGGGGCAGTTTTACAAGGAACAACATTTTTACATATAGTTAAAATGCCTCTTGCACTATCACCTTGTTTTCACTGCTTTGTACAGCATTTATTTTTTTTTCTTTCACAGCACTGGAAATTAGTGACACTCAAGAAGGCTGGTGTTCAAATGTCTGATGAGGTATCTTCTTCATCTAGAACTTCAAGTGAAATACTTCTGAACATAGCTACCTGTACCTCTTGCTTGTTTTTCCTTGAAAATATTGCCAGTGGAATCAGTTAACACAGAATCTAATTTATTGTTCACATCAAGGAGCTGAGAAAGAGCTGGATAGTTTCTTACTCTTTATTAATCTAACCTTTCTCTCTGTCCACAGGCTGAGTTCTCTGCTGCAAGGGTTTGTGGACAAACAGGTGTATCTTGAAGCTGTTTAAAAACACCTCTCTTATAACTAACAATCGGTTTAGAAATGTAGGTGCCTAACTCCATTACACAAATGTTTCTCAGTCCCAGAATGACAGGCCAAAATGCTCTTTATGTCCTGCTCAGCAGAAACACGTGGAGCAAAGGTATCAAAAGCAGGTCAACTTTAATGTCAGTTTGCAACCTTTATCTTAAATCTTTAATTAGTAATGCACAATTATTACATTAATACAGAAATACCTTGAGCTCTGCTTTAAACAATGGTTTTTAACCATGGTGTATGGATTATAAGAGATATGATGTGTCTATTTCCATCACAAACTCTGCAAATGAGATAGATCCAAGCACAGGGAGATAATTTAATCTGGCTATGTCCGAGTGTGACACTACAGCCCTATCAACTACCAAAGGCAATTTCAGATGACACATACAGCTGTGACTCAGCAGCAAAGCAATAGAAGACCTAAGCAGGTTGAAGCATGCTTCACAACTGAGTCTTCAAATGTGTGGATGACCTACTTACATTCATCTTCAGATATAAGAAACATAAGAAAAATAGTTTTTATAAAATCTTGTAAATGTGCCATTGTGCAAGGCTCTATTGTTAAAGAGACCTGAGGTAGCCTTCAGTCAGTATAAACATTCTCATTTGTAAGCCTACAATGCTTAAAAGGCTTAATAGCAAATTATCTAGATCTTAAAATAATAGCTTTCTTTCTTGGATAAGTCTGATTTGGACAAAGGAGACAAGATGCCAAGATGATATTATTTATAACTGACTCATTCATTCAAATCTGTCCTCTTCTTTCATACAAATAAAAAAGTACTGAGATCTCCCAGACCAGAATTGAATAACAGTGGAGATTCAAGAATAAATAACAATAATACCTGCCATAAATACATCTCTCTGCTGTTTGAACCATTTCAGAACTCACAGGCTAAAGGCTCTCATGTGAATGTTGACACCAGTCCTGAAAACTTCATGTCTGTTACCTATTTTTATAAACAGAAGAGCAGTAAATATACATCAAATACTTAGACTATGTTTTTCTACATATTTTAAATGTTATTAAAAATATTGTATATTATAGTACGACATTACACTACAAAAAGTCATAATAAGCTGAACTTCATACTGCAGTGTAATCACTTCAACACCCATTCCCCATGTACTGTACAGCGATTAATTATGTGGGTCCTATATTTAGAACACGTAGACACTTAAATCCACATTGTTTTTCTAGGGGGGGAATTTAAACACCTAAGTGTTTTCAATATAAGGTTCTATGTGTTTTACGTTCTGGAGGTAGTAGAGTAACATTCAATATGTTTTCTGTGTGCATCCCTGTGAAAGTGATAGGATTCTGAAGGTGTTGGGAAGAAGAGAGCTTGGTTTTCAAGACATTTAGTGGCAAAACTTTTGCTGAGAAAGTCCATGAAAAGAAAACACTCTCGAGAGCAGGGTTCAGAGTGTAACAGCCTGAACTTGCCTTTCCCTCGAATTGAAAAAAAAACTAACCTTATAATGGGACTAACTGCATTAACTGCAGCCACTCACAGCAGAGCAGGAGCCAGTGTGCACAGCAGAAACAGGACCAGAGCCATTAAAATGAAATGAGCGCTAAGGGCATCTGCAGACAAGCACTCAGTATCTAAATCCAAAATCAATTGTCTAGAAACACCAGCCCCAGGAGCACACAGCAAGGAAAAGAGGAGAAAAGAAAAAAAAAACACATAGGCTTAAACTAAGCATCTGTAAAATAGGCCATCTACTTTTAAATAATGCATCAAAATCTTGACATTTCAGCACGGGTTCTGCATGTGCTGAAATGTTTTGCATCCATTATTCAGCCACAGATGTAAGGGAAAAGCATGCAATATCACGACAGCAAAAGAGAATTTTTTAAGTTTTGATTTTTGGGGGGTTTTTTTTGGTCGAAGGGAATGCGGACTGCTGAGGTGCGATTGCTTTCCTGCTAGCCCAGCAGGGAAACCTTTGTTAACCCCTTCACCTCCCTCGTCCCACCTAATGGGATACTCACCCTGTTAAAGCGCTTGGCCTGAAAAAGATGCCCATTCACTCGATAGAGCTTCCTCCATCGTCTGGCCCCGCGACGGTAGATTGATTCTACGAAAGAGATGAAAAAGGTGTAAAGAAGCAGCATGGCAAAACTCAAAAAGATGAGAGGCGGTGGGGATGACTGGAGGTCGTGGAGAGTAAACCCCAAAAACTTGATGGGGGGAGAGAGCAGATTAACAACTCGAGTCCAGCTGTCTTCCTACGTGAAATTCTTCAAGTCCTCTGAAGAGTCAATCACATCAGAGAAGATGTCAGGTTTTCACAGAGAGGGAGAGAGAAACACACGCACACAATATACACACTCGCTCTGCCTCTCCCCTTTCTCTCTCTCTCCTTTCTCCCATGTGACTCTAATCTTATTACTATTCTACAATGTCTGTGTGTGCTGGAAAGCCAGGTGAGACAGGGAAGGTAGCAAAGCATGCTGTTCAGCTGTTTATGGGCTTTTGTAGTGATTGTGAAAAGGATCAGAATTAGAAATAGCCCCAGCCTCCTTTTCTGCTGCTGAGCCATTGTCAACAAACCCTTTACAAGAAAAACCTTAACAGATTAGTTCACATCATTGCATTTAGCTGAGAATATTTTTAATAATATTGGATTTATCTTTCTTATTTGCTCCTTGCCATCCTTTACACTTTTTTTGTGTATGATGTCAGGTGAAATAAAATAATAAATATTTAAGACAACTAATAAATATGAATGTCATGTTTGCCTTAGCAAACATTAATGAACCACTTCTTATGACGTCGGCAATAACATACACCAAGCACAAATGGGTGTGTGATACCCTGTATACAGTGACATAAAACAGTTTATTGTTTTTGAAGAATGCAATAGCAAGTCCAGCATGAGGAAACATTTATTTCTAGGACTGTTTGTCTGTGTTTACAAGCGTAAGTACATTATTTTAAGGCATCTGGATGTGACTGTGTTACTCTGATAAAATTAAATTTAAACAGGTTACATTACATAACACATGTCTTACTTTATTTAAAAAGGTTAAAAAAAGAAAAGGAAGGTGTGATTTATCAGTTTCTGTTTTATGGAAGCAGCCGAAAACTGTATTTGTAATCATTAGATTTTATATATCGGCGATTCCAGATGAGGTCCAGTGTGTCTGCCAGTTTGCAATTCACCGAAATCAGCTCATTATGGTCTTAATTGGACTCATTTAACAACTTCCCCAGGCTTTTCAGGTGCTGAAGTTTAAAGAGACTTAGAAAACCTGCAGATTAACTGGCTCTCCAGAGTTTTAAAGCATTAGATTATTATAGAGAAAAATGTCTTGTTTCTCAATAGTTACAATTGTTTCCTTCTACAGCACCGATTCTACAACTCCACCCCCACTTTCTGACAATCTGAATGACTGAAAGACGCCTGGAATTCTGCCACGAAAACAAAGGATTTTGATTCTCTTCAAAAACATTATGTTCACAGCATGAAGAGAACAAAGGATTCCAAAACATAACAAGAAATACGAAAAGTTTTTAAGTAAGGTGGACTGATGATGTTTCCAGAGGTTCTGCAACAATAGAGTCCTGAAATGAAACTATATTTTTGAGCCAAAAAAAAGAATTTGACATATTTGTCAAAATAAGAAAGAATAACAATTGACAACCAATAATAAAAATAAAGGTTGCTGTCTATGTCATTCTCAAGACCGAAGCTGAATAACAATCATATAAATACTCTTCAAAACTGCCAAGGATAAGAAAAGAGGTTATTTGGAGATTTCCCTCCAGGAGAGAATCTGAGTACCCATGCAATTCAAACTCAGATTCACATGATGCACACACAAGAGAATTTCACAGACATGCTCACAGCACAGTCCTGCCAGATTAAGTCACTCTTGATGATTATTGCAACGATTCTCAGGAAACAGTAAACTGGGGCTTGCTCTTCTTGTCTTTGGTGAGGCATGGAAATACGAGACCAGAAAACTGGCACCTTGAGGCTCCAAACAGAAGATAAGGGAATCAAAGCCTTCCTAAAATAATATCACCACTACATTACATTACTGCTACTACTCATAACAATCACTGCTGTTAACCCATTAATCAGTTAGCAAAGGTCAGCTTTTATTCTCAATTATTGATTTTTGTTCCATCGCCTTTTCCTATCTGCTGTACACTGCAAGTCATATAACGTCACTTGATCAAAAAAAATGGATTTCATTGGATGGATTGCGGAGTTTTATTTCCTCTGTGGAGGCAGATCTCCACTGTGTTTCATTAAGTTGTCCTCAGCAGCAGCATCAACATGCCTGGAATTGAGTGGATAACAAGAACTTAAATTAATGTGCATTTCCAGCCATTCATTCCTGTTGCACCTGTCCAGCAGGGACTGTGGATAACTGAAACTGTAACTTTGATGGGAAACATCCAAAATGCAGTTAACTGTTTCCTGTAAAGCTTTAAAAATGTGTGGTCTGTGAGGGAAAACAGAAAATCACGTATATCCCTTGTTTACCATGTTCATTCAGGACTACAGACACCCAGTGGAGGATGATACTATCCTTTCTTTCCCTTGCTAGTTAAAAAAAAGTATAAACTCTGCAGGTCACAACTCAGAAGTCAATGTAGACTTTGACAAGAAGAATGTTGTAGTTGTATAACTTGCAAGTCAAAGTAAGATTAAAGACAAGTAATGTGTCTGTAATTTCAAGTTTTTATGTTAAAATAAAAAGAAGACTATTGAATGCAAATTAATCTAATTTATACCCCAGAAACATCACAAGTAGAGAATGTACTTTAATTCTTTAGGCATTTACAGTAAAGCCTTAAATATTTCAGCAAGAAACCTTTCCATGGCTGTTTACTTCAGAAGCCATACATTAAATGTTACTTGTTAACTTAAATATTTAATATTTAATTTTAAAAGAGGAGGTTTAGTTGAATATTACAGTTTAATTATAATTTATTACAGTAAGCATGAATAAAGACAGAAGTAACTAGGCAGTACAGCAACAATAATGAGAAGAAAACATTGATTTAACAAAGAGAGAGGAGAACTGGCCAAACAGTTGTTGCAGAACTCAAACACCATTACCATACAAATGAAATATGTCTTTTTGTCTTACGACTTCTCTTTCTCACTTTAGCACTGGGAAGTCACAGGTTGACTCGATCTTTCATCTCAGCTGTCTTCCTCCCATTCCTTGACCAACTGTTTGTACCAGTGCTTCCTCTGACTGAGAAGTCATCTGCCACCACTGCTGGCAGCACTGTGTGGTAAAAGTAGTGGAGCTGTTCTGTTTGTCAGCTACTGTATAACACTGCTGAAACAAGAAAAGGCAGGAGGGCACCTTTAAACAGAAACAAAGCCAGCGAAGCAGGGATACAGAGATGCTTCTGACTTGACCGACAAGCTAAGAAATACAAGGCACCTATCAAAGGAACTGAGCTCATAAATGATTCCCATCATCCCTCTTCTGCTCACTTTCTTTCTCTCTAGAAAGCAACAATAAACAGAGCTGCTCAGGAGTCAACTTTTACAAAACTAAGCGATTTTCTTCAGTGCCATGAGACGATGTACCATGAAAGGCACTATATGAAATAAAGGTTATTACTGTTCTGTTCCATAAAACCCCTAGGCCATAGAAATAATAAAATAGCACTGCTGCCTTGCTACTTTCAGCACACAAACACTTAAATAATAAAACAATAATTAACAATAATTCTTTGCATTTCGATAGGAGGTTTTACCCCCCAAACACCTGACATACTGTACAGTACAGGCGGGCAACCAATTCAGCCACCATGAAGGGCTGGGGGCGGATCCCGCCTGGACCACGTTTCAGTCGTTCTACTCCAACAGCCCCACTGCAGCTGGAGCAGAGAAAAACGACTTCACTGTTCGAATTAAGGGAGCAGATTAGGTCAACTGGATTGTGCAAAACCCAGAGTGGCAGTTAGAAAGGACAACAGGGTTCACACCAAATCGATGAAACGTTCTTGCCTTTTCTCACCGCTCTCTGTAGATGAGTCTCAACCCATGCCAGAGCAGGAATACACCAGAGTGATCCCACAGATCTTTTTTGCTACCTTCATAACCAATTACTTAATCACCCAGTTGGTTATTTTTCAGTCTTTAATTAGCAGCTCGTCATACATTGTGAAGAGAAAAACATTAAATCAACAGAACAGAACAGAGTTACGTGTAAAACACGTGGGACTGAAAAGCAGACCAGAGAAACCCAATCATTTCATCCAGAACTCACTCTGGATCTCCTGGCTGCCACTCAATTCATTTTTTTAATTTTAATTTTGCTTGTAAATTCATTTTTCCCGCTTTGTTTTTGTTGCTCACCCTAGGTCTGCTTTCAGAAGTGGAAATCAGCTCAGTCAACATTAAGTCTTTTGATCAAACTGACATGCACACATGAAAAATGCAATCGCACACATAGGCCAGGAAATAGTGAAGCTACCAAAATCTGTCTGCCAGGAGTTATCTCTCTCTCTGAGTAGTCCTGCTTATGTGCTGTTGTTCTCACATGTGATTTGTGTGCAGCTAAATTGACATATTAGATCATAAAGTGACTCAGAATACAATCATCACCATGCATGGATCACATATCTTTCAATGCTTGTAGAAATGTCTGTAACATTAGCACATCTGTGACTACACAGACCTAAATGGCATCAAGATGGACAATGAACACCATCAAAATATAATATCCCACTCATACTACCAACTTATTACAGAAATCAGAAACCAAAGAAGGAAATGCTGCAATTTCAAGAAAGTTTAGAGAGAATTGGAAATGTGGGTTTTACATATATAAACTAAATGTTTTATGAAGAACATCTTACTTGTCACAGCAGAGAAAATTGCTACTGAATGCAATAGATCATGAAGAAAAACAAGACCAAGGGCTGAAATCAAAGTCTTTTTTGGGTGCTGAAGTCTGAAACGTTACCATATCAACCACAGATTTACTAGCTCTGGAACCACTTACATAGTTATTGCCTCTTAATTACTCCAAGAAACACCCATGAACAAGATAGGGGGTTTATAGTTGAAAGTTTTCTACACTATAACCTGATGTG